GTGCTGGATTATGGTTGGTGACCTTACTTGAAGCTTGTATCAAACCTGGTAACCCTTAAAACTGGCTTTGACTGTGCTATTTGTAGTCACTAGCAGGTATATCAAGTATCTTCTTTCCAGCTTTTCTCTTTTCCAAGCATAAATAAGAAAGGACCAAGATATATTAACACCTTAGCTATTTCAGTCTTCTACTTACTCTCAAACCAAAACAAAAAGCAAACCACAAGCAGCTACAGAGGACAGCAGTATTAACAGCAACATGTCCAGCACCTCTTCTTCATGCCCCCATCTCTTCTGCTCTTTCTCCCATTCCTTCTTCTCACCTTTTATTTCTCCATACAAATTAAGGATCCTGCTGAATTTTGAAATGATTGATTTCTTCTTCCTTAATGAGAATCACCACTCTTGAGATAGCTGTTCTGTTTGTGCCATGCGGGAAAGGGAATGAAGGCTCTCAAAACTCTCATTGCAGAGGGGAATGTGCAGAAAGCTGGGGCAGCACAGGGATGGGTAAGTGCTCTGCCACCTGACATCAAACACGCACTGGTGTTTCAGCATCACTGTAGATCCTCAGCACAGCATTTCCTCAGTCCCATCCCTCCTTCTCAGCCTTCTCCTCATTTCCTAAGTCTTTCAGAGGGCATCTGGATATGGCTGGTTACAACCAGGGGCCTGCTGGATACAGCTTCATGGCCAGGCAGTTACAGCACAGTTGCCGCCAGCTGGCCAATGCCACTGCGGTGCAGGACAGGCAATCTCCCGATGGTGCCTACAAGCGCCATCTACTGGGACAAGCACTGTCACCAGTGCAGAGACTTCTGTTCAGACCTCTCATACCCATATTACCCCAAGGGGCACGGCTGTGAGCAGAGCTCTGTGGCAGTGCTCTGACAGCACTAAGCCACTGCACCTCATGTGTTAACCTGTGTGAGCCTTACTGCTCATTTCAGCCGAAGAGGTCTTCTGGACATACTGCCCCAATGAGATAGTAGGAAAACACAAGACACCTTGTGAATGGGGTTGCCATCTATGGTGCTCAGTGCACAGGACCTGGTGCTTCCCCTAAATGTTGGGCTGGAAGCACTTGGAGCCCACCCCACCTGCAAGCACTTGGAGCCCACCCCACCTGCAAGCACTTGGAGCCCACCCCAAGGGAACATGACTTAGCTTTGATGCTTTCTTATGAGTGGAGTCTCATGTGGGGCATGCTAAGATTGAGCACCAAGAGCTGCAGTTCACAAGGCAGGTCCTGGGAACTTGCTTGTATATCTACACTCCATATGAACACCTCTACCCCTCCTGCTTGGACACCTTGTCCTCCCCTGAGCCATCCAGAGTCAACCTTTGAACATAGTGCCATCTGGTGAGATTTGAGACACTCGTGCAGCCAAATGTCACATCACTCACCAGCCTCCTTTCTCATAAGCATCCCATGAGTCTGGGCTCCCACCTCAAACCTCTCAGCTACAACCTGGTCCCTTTGAGCAGGTGATGGGGATCAGGAACCAGTGGGGTGTGTCCTAATTTATGGGATGCACTGCATGAGGCAAGATTTCATCTCCCAAAACAGAGATTTGAATGTGTTACATAAACGTACATATATACAGATGCATAGAGGGGAGGGTTATTTCTCCGTGCATGGGGGGCTCTAGCACATACTTCCCGACACAGCCCTACAGAAGAAATAACCACAAACTTAACCAAATCCTGCGTTTCCTGTCTACACAGACTACAAAGGTGGCATTGTGATCCAGACTGCAGATAACTGAAAGAGGCTGTCAGTGATATGGGCAACTACACACACAATGCAGGTGCCCTGCCACACATCACATTAGTGCAGACCTAGCCAATACAAGAGCTGTTCTGATAAATATAGGCTTCTAGAGGTGCTTCGATTACCCTGAACATCTATCCAGGGCTAGGAGATATGAGACAAGACCTACAGGAGACAAACACCCTCCTGGTCTGGTGGCTGCAGGCCAGGCAGGATACCTACAGCATTTAGGGAACTAATCAAGCCATCACATAATATTACTATTATTCATGACAGTGACCCACAGGAGCCCCACCAGCCTTGGAGCTCAGGCTGAGTGTTGCTTGTACTAAACAGGACAGTGACCACCCTGGAGAATTTAGCCAAAACAAACTAAACAGACATTCAATAGAGGGGAAAAGTGCACCACACCTCTATTTTACAGCTCAGAATCAAAGAACAGATGAGAAGTGGCTTCACAGCTATTAAATGACTGATATGTCACTGTGCAAGACTGACCAGCAAAGCTTTACATTCATTAAATATAAGCTCAGTACATATTACAATTCATGTTCTCAAATAGTAGAATTGCACACTGATGATGGAAAACTTGGAACCTGATCCACTGTCTAGTGAAGCAAAGGGAAAAAGCTCTTTGCATTAGGATGACATAGGTAGTTCATGGGTAGACAACTCCTAACTCCAAGCATGTCAGTATTGCTCTGAACTCCATCCTAACCCATCCGCGGTCACTTCACTGTACTGCAGAATTCCTGCTTTGAAATCCCCTCTGCAGCTTTTCCCATTATCACTTACCACAATTACTCTACACTAAATGTATGGTTCTGTTTCCCATGAGTTAAGGCTACAAGTAGGGATTTTGGTCCTCACATTTGGAGTATTCGTATCTTCAGTTCTGTTGAACAGATACCATGTCATGTGTGGGTTGCTATTCTCCAACAGAGGATAAATGCATTGACAGGTTGCAAAAGGCGTATTTTATGAGTGAGAAAATGAAATAAATAAATGAAAACACACAATGTTTCCTTCTGTTGTTAGTAGAACAATGAATTTTATTATGGCTGTGTGCAATGGGAGTATTAGCTCTAGTCTGCAGAAGTGCAAATTAAACTGCTGATTTAGATTATCATATTTCATTATAGTAACTTTATACACTTTGACTTTTCTTATTGTATGTAAAACCTTACAAGTTATTAGCCTTTTTTGTCAACTGTGTTTTAGAAGTGAGAGGTTTATTCCTGCTATTACATTAAAGGAGGCATTTTGCTGCTAGGAGTGTTCAGCATTTTATTCCTCTGTGATAACTTTCCCTTTACTCTAGCACAAAACACAATTAAGACAGAAATGTTCAGTAGTTTTATTATGCCCTTGTGTGGGGAGCTAATCCCCACTTAATTTTTCAGGGATTCCCAAAGGATTTTACAAACTCTACGTGTTTGCCCAGCACACTCTGTAGTGGCATAAACGAAGAATACATAGACCTCAATGGGGGCTTTGGCTTTTATACTTTTAGTAATTCCACTTTCTCTTATCACAAGTTTCATGAGCACTGGAATTTCCTGGTCAATATTCTGGGTTTATGGATAAATTTTGCTCACTTTAATTTGGGCAATTTGTCACTTTAGTGGGTAAGTAAGGAAAAGAGGACTGGGTTTAAATCAATGTATTATTATTTCAAGGAAAATTCTTTTTACACAGAAGCACGCACAGGGTCACCTCTGAATTACCAGTGGGAGACAATCTCTGATTAATGACATTCAATAGAAATTAAATAAAGCTTTTCTTTTTTTTGCCTTTTTTTTTTTCCCTGTAAGAAACAGCAAACATCCCTAAGAAAATAAATAGTTTCATTAGTAACTTTTCACGCACCAGGGTTTTGTTTTAGCCTGGCTTCCTGTAGAAAAAACCTGTGGGCACAGTTGAGATTTTACCCTGTTCAGTGTTTGCTGCCACCTCACATTCTGCATCTGACACCTTCCCTGTGAGTTACTGCTACCTCTTCCATGGAGCTGAAGGCTCATGAAAGTGCCAAGCCATTGGTGTGGGAGGCTGGACCTCTTTTCTGATCCATTGCTTTCAGTGCTCAATGATGTTTCTCACCATTTTATCCAAAAGATCTAACAGTATCTGGTGGCATTCTCACAGTGCCATGCCCTGCAGTGCATCTCCTTGAGCCACAGAGCCACCTCTGAAGCCTCACATTGTGCGTGAAAGGTGACCTAAAGAATCAAACCAGAAGAGCAAAGACTTTGACTGTGATATGGTTTATACATTAAAACCTTAGTTTGGACTGAGTAGGGATTGAACAGGCAGCACTGCAGGTGTGGTACAAGCTTCTCTGCTGACCCTGGTGCTACCTGTGCTCAGAATAGGAGCATCCAAGGGATGCAACAGCAGGGATGAGTTAGTATTTCACCTCTGTCACTCTGCTAGGCTATGGAAAACAGGCAGTCACATAACCATGTGGTCAGTGCTTTTTCCAGTGCAGATGACCATGCAGCAGGGAAAAGCGTGGAGAGTACAAAAACCAGCATGTGCTTGTGTCTGTGCACACGCACATACATTTTGCTTAGCCGGTGGCACGCAGTTAGTCATCAGACACTATCATTTCTTTCCCTTGGCTGACCCCAGTGTGGATGCTCTTTTCTTAACGCAAGACCTTTAGCACTGGGAATGATACTGGCACTGAACTGTGCAAACCTGACAGCTGAAGGCAGAGTTGTTCCTCCTGAGCTGGAGCAGGCACTTTGTCAGCTCCCTGCCGATGACTAACACAGCATATAACCTTTTCTTTCTGTGTGGGGCCTTTCCAAAAGGATTCAAAGCATACATCAGTCTTTATTAATGCTGTCACTCCTCCCACAGAGGAGCTCTCCCTCAAACCCACTTCACCCAGTTCAGAGCAAGGGCTTTCCAAAAATTGATGTCACACCTATAATTAGACCTGAGGTACCAAATTGTCACCTGCCGATGGGCTGGTGACCTAGCAAGTAACCACCTAAGAGATCTCTGCCAGGGTGACATAAGACATATACGCTAGACAACAATTGACGTTACATATGTGGCACTTTGCAAAGAGCTCTATCAGCTACACGGATAAGAACGGGGGAAACTGCGTGAAGAAAGAACCAAGTACTTTGCACTCAGCACTGATTTCTGAATAAATGAATTATTTTCGTTTCCAAAATAAAAGACTCTCTAAAAGAAATTTCTATTTTCCTTCCTGTGGTACAGTCACAAATGCGTAGGGTCCTTTGCTTCCCCCTGCTGACACCCGGCAGCGGCACAGGGTGGGCTGTGGCTCCAGCCAGCCGTGGGAGTGGGGAAACTAATGAGGATGGGCTTTGTTGGCAAGAGCTCCTTCATCCCACAGCTCCCCCGGTGCTGCTGCCGAGAGGTGCGTGAGCGGGCGGACAGGAGCAATAAAAGCAGCTGAGTCCCCCCTGCACCTCATCACCTGCGTGCCAAGCACAGCTCTGGGGTCCCACTGGAGAGGACGTGCCCAGACGGCTCTCTCTGAAAGCTGGATTTTGTGGCTCCTCTGCCTAGTCTCCCAGACACACAGGTGAATGGATTTGGCACCCCTGGCACTCTCAGGTAAGAGGGAAGCAAATGTGCTGGGATAAAAACCAGAGTGGGGTTTTGTGGTCTGTTAGGAAATCATCTCTGGAAGAGGACTTTGAATATTTTAGAAAGATAAAAAGAAACCATTCCTTCTAGCAGTCTTTAGAGAAGGCACCTTGCTCCAGAGGGGCTTGCTGGCCCATGTGTACCTACTATCTCCCAGCACAACCCACTGGCAGTCAGGAGCCATTGAGTGGGAACCAGGGTCTTAGGAAGCCCCAGCAACTCTGCCTGCTGTGTTCACCAGTGCAGAATGGGGCACCTGAAGCTGGGAGAGGGCAGAGCTCAGTTTGAGAAGACTGAACACTGTAGGACAAGTGTGGAGGTGACTCTTGTTTGGGCTGACATATGGTGGGACTAGTGTGAAGCTGCCTTTTCAGGTTTGCTGTGGGTCAGGGATATGACAGTTGGTAATTGCTCCTCTTCTTTTGATTTTTGTTACCTTAACATTTAGAGTGAGAATAATGTTCACAGAGTGAGAAAAACAGTTCACAGCTAAAACTGGCTGAAATAACAAAGGAACCAGGATGGAGGCTCTGTGTTAGAACTTAGCACTGCCGCTTGTTCTGAGTCACAACAGAGGCAGCAGTGTGGGGGACAGCATGAGTGCCAGGCGGGGAGCAGCCAGCGCTCTGGGGCAGACCTGGGCACCGGCCACCAGTGGAGAGGGCATTGAGTGGGGAAGTGCTGGACAGGCTGGGGGAGGCACAGGGGTACTGTGGCTCTGCTGTGGCTGATCACGATCTGCCACCCCAAAAAGTGGCTGTGCAGAGAGGTCCAGCCCCCTGCAAGGGGCTCAGAAACTTGTGCCCCCTGCTAACCCCTGTAGCACAGGAGTGGGTCCCTTCACCTCAGGCAAATGACCCCAGAGGACTAATGGGGGAAGTACAGAAGCTGGCTTTGGTCTTTTTTTTTTTTCCTAGTTGTGGCTGAGTTTTCCATTTTGCCTGTGACTTTCCCAACTCACCAGCAAGCCAGCAGCAGGCACTGGGCAGCAGGACATTCACCCTCCCTTTGCATGCTATCAGCCTTCATGCTACACTGCTTGCAGTTTCCTGTGAGTTTCAGTGATTGTTTCACTATTTCAGCTGGGGAACAAAGCTGTTACCCAGCCACCTGGCTGTTGAATTGCACTTTAACACTCTCATCACACAGGAAAAGACACATCTTTAACACCAACAGCAACTTCTGCAGAACCTCTGAAGGATGGGGGAAGGGGCAACACCAATTTATCCAGCAAACATAACTTCTCTGAGGGATTTTTCAGTCCTGTAGGAGCCAAAGCCAATATCTGAGGAAGGACTGAAACCATCACCTGGTGGTTTTGTGTGATGTGTCCTTGTGTGAACATGCTTTGTGCAGCCATCAGGAATGTGCTTTATTCATCTTACATGTTAAAACTCACAGTTCTGATTCACAGTCATTTCTGGGCTCCATCACTAGATGGTGACATGCTCCCAGATACAGAGTCGTCCCTCTGTTCGTCTTTTTCCTTTCTATAAAATAAGAGTAAATTTAGACTAAACGTATGTTTTACCCTCTGTTCACAGAAATGCAGCATCCCCAGCCACAAGCAACTCTGTTCAACACAATTTGGTAGTCAACCAATTTTTAATATGGCATTGGTTTTGTTAACACAGTTTCTGTAAGAGTTACTGCTATAAAAGCAATTCTAGTTATGAACATTTATGTAAAGAAGTATTACTGCTCTCTGCATAATTTAGAATATATTTGTCAGCAGTCAATGGCACGCTCAAAGTGAATGCCTGTTTGTGCACTTTCTGAGAACAAACCTGCACCAAGAGTTTTAAAGTTTAAAATTAATGTGTCATTTGCTTGTGGAAGCTTCACAATACCTTCCCCCTTCCTGTTTTCTTTGAGCATGTGACAGTGCTTGCCTCCTTCCTTAAAATATTTGTCAATACTTGCAGCCCAAAAGCACAGTATTTGCTCTTCTAAAGAAGGTTAGGTGACCAGGATGAGGAGTATGCACTCCCCAGTGGTCAGGCACACACATATAATCTCCTTTCCAGTCCATCGTTTAGTTTTGATTGAGATGTCCACTGGGATTTGCAAGGCTTATTAAGGCAGTAACACCCATCATATGAGGTTTGTGGCACAGTATGAAGATGAGGGCTGGAAAACGAGCTAGAATTCATGAGATGCCTGATGCGATGATGAGCACTAGAAACCTGGATATGTCTATATTGGTGCCTGGCTGCCACATGCAAATATCTCAGCATGGGTTACTGACCTGGTGGGGTGTCTGCAAAAGCTTCAGTCCCTGCTACTTGCTTGGCTGCTCATCACAAGGTAAAGGCAGACTTGCCTCTGCTGGGAAATAGAAACTGCAATGACAACGTGTGAGGAGCAAACCCAATCCATTCCCCCTAGCAGCAGAGGGTCCTGTGCTGCTGCAGCTCATAGGTCTCTGGGCTTGCAGGAGAAAGCAGACTCCCAGGAGACACTCAGCTCTGCTCAGCCATGTCTGGTAGGGCTTGGACAGGATTTGGAGGGGGGGTTGGCCACATACAGGCTGGGTGGGACAAGTCTGTCCTTATCTTCAACACAGGCCTGGGGGCCTGTGATCCCTAGTAGGCTCTGGGCCAGGTTGGGCTCCATATTGGATGACAAGAAATCCCACTGGGGTGGGCTTCATGTCAGCTTAGAACAGAATAAGGCTAAGCTTAAAATATTGCTCTTTCATCATCAGGAAATGTAGAGAGGATAATTTGAGGTACGTGCAGAAATGCAGCTTCCCCTGTCCCATCCTCCTCTGCACACACCTTCATCTATCACAGTTGCTGTTGATGGTAGACCTGTGGTGACCCTGGCCAGAGGCTGAGGACTGGGGTGTGAGAGAGCTTTCCACTCTCCCATTGACACTGGATGCTACTGAACTGTCTGGCGCTGTCTGACGCCTAGACCTTGGATGCCTAGCTGCTTGCTCACCCCCCACCCCACCTTGTAAATGTTCTGCTTTTTCTGCTAGTCCAGCTGCTTTTTTATCAAAGGCATCTTCTTCTGGGCTCCCTGTGGCTTGCAGGTTTTCTTCTATATTCCTTTTCAGCATCCTCCTTGATCTTAAACATGTTTTCATCCTCTCTCCTCCCCTTTTCTGGAAATCATTTTTGCTCACTAAGTACTTTTTTGCTGAGGTTTGTGTAACAAACATTATCTGCTACACAGGATTTTCTCATAACAGTCAAATACACTTTGTCCTGCCCCAACCTCAATTAAAATCAAGATAGAACCTTTTAAAGTTTTCAGAAAGCCAGCATGAATACTTTTTCCCCACCTTTCTTGTTACCCCAAAGCTTTAGCATCAGCAGTAGGCAAGCCCAAAGCTGCTGAAAGGCACAGCTGACAACGATGGGTGCTGTCTAGATTGTGGATACTCTGAGATTCTGGGGGGCAGAAAAAGCCTGCCAAAGTTCCTGAGTGACTCTGGGTAAGTTAAAGACACTTTTCATAAGCATATTCATTTCTGTACCCCCACAGACACCCAAAAAGGCTCTTCACAATGACTGCTGGCCTGGAGAAAGCCTGCCACCGGTGCATATCAAAAATTGCCAGCAATGGTAAGGCACTTCTGGTAGTAACCTTCTGTGCTTAAGTATCCCTTTTGCGAAGCCGGGTGTATGAAGGAATTCAGACGGTAACAAGTCTAGCCTGAATCTTCTACTGAAGTTCCCTTTTCTTCCCTCCTTTCTGAGGCATTTCCTTCCTAGGCAATTTTGGGCACTGGTGGAGTGCACAATAGTAACTCTGTCCCTACAGTGCCTCCCTGCTACAGTATTTAGATTATAGCAGACCAGCATAAAATTTCAAACAAATACAACCACCACCAAGCACCTAAATATGGGCTGCAGCAGACAACCTAAGCAATATGCTGTGTTCGTCTCCTGGTTCAACTGGTATCTTATGTGTAATCCAACAGAACTATCTGCAGGGAAAAACACCAGGTAAAGAGCAGTGTGGTCAGCTTGGGAACAAAGTCCCCCACAACCAATTCCCAGAAAGCAAAACTGCTGCCAGCCTGTGTGTTGACATAGGAACACAAGGCTGGCAATAGAGTATGGTCAGGAATAGCCCCCCCCTTTCACCCAGAGACATTTGGAGCAGGGTCTTGTTCCCTTCATTTGCCCAGTCCCTGGCACACAGGCATGGGTAGCCCTCAGAAGTGGCCACATGCTCTGGGTAGGAAGTATCAGTTATCTGAATGCAGGTTTTTCACAGGACAGCCTAGGCTCATCCAGGTTTTAAAGCAACAGGTTCATCTTCACATAGTGGAGGATGCAGAGATATGTAACAAACCAACAGCTCCCGGACTGGGAGAAGAAGCTGGTTCTTGCTCTCTGAGAGGCAGCGCAACAGAAAGCTGACCTAGGCTGGTGGCTGAGGCACAGGAGTCTTATGCTTCAGAGGTGGGGTTTTATAAGACCAAAGAAGTGTCATTGGCCTAAGGTTAAAATCCAAGGGTTTTAAAGCAGCTTACTCTCACTGACTGCACCTCCTTTTAACTCCGAGTTGCAAGTGCATTTTGCTTTTGCTTGTAGGCAGTAGCAATTTCTAATTCCACTCAAACATGAGAAGAAGAAAACCCCCTGAGCACTCACTGGAACTGATACTTCACCCACACTAATTGCTGCATTTACCAGTGTAGGGCTGTTACCTTGGGGTCTTTTATAGTCCTGCTTTTGGCTTCAATTGAAAATCTCTCAAAGTTCAGAATGGTTCAGCCCCTTAAACTCCTTGCTGCCTTACAACCCTTCAGAGAAAAACAAGCTGGCGGGGGAGAGACAGCCCTGGCCTGCTTTCAAACCAGGCTCATCCTCAGGAAGCCAGCACAGGCAGGGAAAGAGAGGGTATTTTCTGTCCCACTTGCTCCTGCTCATCATTGCCCCAGGGGAAAGGAGGGATGGGGAGAGACAAACACTGAGGGGTGCAAAGCTTTCAGTGCTCTCTCTGCACTCCAAGAAGCCCTTGGGAGTAGGATTGGGTTGATGTGGGCTCCCTCACAAGCCACAGAAAGGGCGTGCAGCAGGGATCTGGGCATGTTGATGACTATCACAATGAAAAAAGGCAAAAGTGGTATTTTGTCTGATTTTTGTTCCTACCTGTTACAAGCAAAATGTCACCATTCCCTGCTGGTATTAAATTGCCACTGAGACTTTAATGATGACAGAGAAAATAAATGATCTTTCTGACATTTTTTTTTAAAGAAAGGGATTAGTTCTGATCTCATGTATGCTTTCTTACATGGAAGCACTCTCTCAGTTACCAACAAAGATGCCCATGAATAAGGCAACCCAGAAATACTGCTCCAGGAAAATCACTAGCTTTAGTTTTTCATTACATTTAAGTTCGGAATCAGCTCAGATTTAGCTATGGATCAGCTAAAGCACCCAATATTGATTTTCTGTTCATTAGGATGCAAACCCTCCTGAAGCACGGTGACACTGGAGTTCACTTTTTCTCACCATCTTGTGTGTATTTTTCAAAGAGCGTTTCAGCACAGCCCCACATTTGTCCCTGTGGTCTTCTGATATTTAAATGACTCCAAAGAGTCAACCTACCTGTGCAGCATCTTTTGAATTCTTTCCATTCTTGGTATAGCAATTTAAGTTCAGAACATTAGGGCAGTCTTTAATTAACTGACCAAAAATAAAGATATCTAATTGACTACCCTGGGTATTGCAAAGCAAACTATGTGGCTCTTTAAAATCTTGTTTTAAAAGTACATCTCCAAATTAACCACAAGGGGCTGAATCCAGAACCTAGACCTAGACCATGATTGCAGTTCAGTAGCTAGAGGCATGGCATAAAATCCAGACAACCCACTCTGCAACATTGCTTAACCCCAAATCACCTACATCTGCCTCTCTGTCTACATCCTCCCTGTCCTGAAGGTTCCCAGATTACTGGCACCTCCTTACTACACACCATTTCTGATGAGAGAAGCATTGTTGGTGTCACTGATGGAACCTCCAGTTTTAGGTGGTGTGACGCTGGCATAGCTTACCTGGGTACCAAAGTATTTCACAGCAACACAACCCTGTCTAAGCAAACAGAGATGGCAGATAGCAAACCCCAAGCTTGGATTGTGTCTCAAGTAAGTTTTATCACACTTTCCTTGCTCCCTACAGTGGCTTTGCACTGGGAGTAGAGACCTCCATGGGAATAACTGTTCCTTACACTGAATCCTCCAGCTGCTGAGTATTCAGTTTGTTCAGAGATGAAACCACCCCACGTGGGATTACTGCCATTTGTCCCAAGAGACTATTCTATCAATATGTCTCCTTGCTATGGCACTTAGACTCATGGACGAAGCAATCTTTGTTTCTGCCCAAGTTCATTTCATATCTCTGCTTTCTTAGCTCTGTGCATCACTTACAGGTCCTTTTTGAGTGTTCAAACCTTGTGGTTATTTTCTCTCATTTGGTCTTTGGCTAGCCAGGCTGAACAGATTTAATTGTTTTCCTTCAAAGTTAGTTCAATCAAGTCTTTTCTGCATATCCCACCTGATGTAGTGACATTTCCTGTCACCCAAAATCCCTGAAAGACATGCAGTATCCACAGCTACCAAACCCTTGGGCAGACTCCTCTCTGGTTTGTAAAACATATGGCCTTGCTGGAGCTGGATCCCCAGGGAGTTCCATTGAGATTCACTTTGCAACTGCAGCACCCACACATACTGCATCCTTTCTTTTCTTCAAGTCCCTATCAATACTGCAGGGGATGCCTGAAGATACTGTGGAGGAATAAGATGTGGATGAAAATATCTGCTACCTGCCTGCACTTCAGCCCATGCTGCTGCACAGCACACTTGTGTGACAAGTGCCATTGCTACTAAGCTACTAACTACCGTCTGCATCTGCCTTGGGGCATGATCATTCCTGGGGCTGGGCCAGTTGACCCTAATTTTCTCACATCCACACTGCTGAGAGTCAGCCTCCTTCACAGCAGCATTCCTATGGGGAGTCTGAAGGGGGTAATGTGAGTTTACACACAGAGTTTTGCTCCTCAGCTTGCTCATGCAGATAAATCCTGGGGTAACTGCAGATTTTTTTTGGAAGTGGGTAGCATCTCATTTAAAATATATAAAATATATATATTAAAATATATATGTTTATCTCATATAAAATATATATATATCTCATATAAATATATATATATATATATATATTCCTTTTTTTGTCAGGAGCCTGACAAGCTATAGACCAAACAGCATTTGGGAGTGATGGTAATGTACACAACACTTCATTTATTACTGTGTTTATTATCAGAGAGCTTGTCACACACTCTACTGAGCAGGTTGCACTACAGCTGTATTAGCATACTACCCTAAGAAGAGTGGGTAGGTTGAGATCTGTACTCATAAATCACTCCTGAAAATCCCGTGAGAGCTCTTCTTACCTGAAAAGACAGAAACTTTTCTCTATATTCAAAGTAAACAGGGACAGCCTGGGATGTTATGCAGCTTCCAAATGCTTTGAAAAATCATGGCAGCAAAAGAAAGTCTGAGGGCCCACAGGTGAATTAGTGCCACCTCCAGTACTGCCTCTGGATCTGTCCCACATGCTGGAGACAGCTAATCTGCTATGTGCCCTGAGGCCAGGCACAGAACTGGGGACAGAAAACAAGGGAGTAGGAGGAGGAGAGGGGGAGAGCTGCACTGCACAAGCATGGTTATGAAAGTTGTAATGAGTCAGGTGCCAGGCAGAAGAGGAACCATAAGATAACATAGAAAAGAGACTATAATGGTGATTTGAAATTGATTTACTTCTTTGGGAAGACCCTGACAGGAGTAACTCAGCTAAATAGCAGATTTGTAACAGCTAAACATCTCTGCTGGGAAGGAGACAAAATCTGCACCCACTGTGCCCACAGATGTCAAGGAAAGTGCAAGATACAGAGCCACTTGCTCTCCTCTTCCTCTGTTGTGATCCCAGACATGAGCTCTTCCCTTCACCCATTTCCTGGCACGTTAGGACTCACTGACTAATGCCTCCCTGAGGAGGACTTCACCAGTGCCCCACCATGCATTGCCTTGGTGGTACAGAGCAGGGGCCTTTCCTGTCTGGTGCCCTGACACCAGCTTTGTGGAGCAGAATGTTCTCCTAAGTCATTCTTAGAGACACTTCCTTCACCCTGTTCTGTTTTTAGAGACTAACAGTCCCTTTTTGCTACTTTTTCTAGGAATAGATTCAGGGGCATCTCTGTGAGACGATATCACCAAGTTAAAAATATCATGAGCCCCACATGTGAAGCTGCACAGACAGCAGGGTTCTATCTGCTGTGCTGTGATGCCCTAAGGCAAACGCCGTTTTCTTAAGCAATTTGTCTGTGGGCCACAACGGGGCAGCAAAACCCAGACAAATCCAGGCAGAGAGTGGCTGCTTCCTGGCTGAGCAGCAGCTTTGTGAAAACCCCAAACGCTTCGGGGATAACGCTCTTCAGTGCTGCTAGCGGCACCGAGAGTGGCTGTGGGGCCCTGCCAGTTGTGTAGTCAATTGTTGAGAGTCTCACTTTGTTAAATATGGATCTGGAAGCCTTCCCAGACTACACATCTGCCCCTCCAATTCGAGACCTAAGAGGCTGTAGCTGAATGGGGAGATAATGAGTAAATACATTCCCAGCAACTGCTTTGGGAGGGGAATTAATGAACCATTATCTCTTTCTCTTGAGCTCCAAATGGTCCCTATCTCCCATTTCTCCCCTCTGAAATAAAGCTATAGGGTAGATGCTAGACACAGGCAAACACTGACACCTGTGTGCCAGATGTGCAGCCTCACACATACATGGGCCTCACCAAGCCTTTTACTGAGCTTACCCAGTAAGCTACCCATCTCTCCCCAGGGGTCAGACAGACCAAGCACTGCATGACTAAGAAACTACATGATGCCTCCTCCTGACAGGGTCCTGAGTACTTGCCTGTGCAGCAAGGGCAGGAGCAGAAGGTGGCTATTAAACCACAGACAGAGATGTGACACTGCTGAGAGCTGCACCGTGATGAGAGAGCTTCTGGCAACAGCAGGCAGTTGATGCAACTCCTGTAGACCTGAACTGCAGTCATCTGGGTACCAGACAAATGAGTTGCCCAGGCTGAGGGCATTATGTGCAGGTGATGTTCATGGGTGTGTTGGTAGCCCAAGTCAGCTACAACAGCATTGCTTCTGAATATGAAAATAATAGTCTAGATAATGTCAAAGCAAGAAGACTTAGCATGAGATGTGATGTGATGAAAAGGGAGGCTCTAGGCTGAGTTGTTTGAAAGAGCTTAGTCAAGTGTAGGACACTATTCAAGCAGAGGAAGAATTCCTGTACTGTACTGCCTGTAAGAGATAGGAGAGCCTGAGAAAAAACTGTGAGAGAGACAGAGGCAGGCCGATGGGGATAGGAGGAGGGTGGCACAAAGGAACAGAAATGCTTTTTTAACTCAAAATATCTTCAGTCTCTACCAATTCATAGCAATAACAAACACGTTAGTTCTGAGAAAGAAGGATGTCTCCCAAATGCTCAAGTGCAGGATCCTCGTTCTGTGCAGACAGAGAAAGCAGCATGTGGGGGATGGGGTATTCCCATGAAAAGTGTCTGCGAGTCAGAAAGCCTGGTGGATCTGCCCTGAATTTTGATGCTGCTCCTCTGTCCCCCATCTCAGTTTCTCCTTCTATAAAATGGAGGCAATGATGTTTCCCTTTTTCTCCAAGGCACTCTGAGGGTGATGCTTTGGCACTGCTGCAGTTTCCCAGAGTGGTACTGTACACAAGGTGCTGGCAGTGTCCCCGCTCCTGCGCAGCGAGGAGGATGCCATTTGCCTTGCAGAGGTTGCAGTTCTTTGGCACAAGGAAGTGTGTGACACAGTTTGCCTGGGGAAGAGCTTGTCCCAAACCAACCCCAAATGCTTGCTCAAAGATTTTTTTTCATAATCCTCTGAGGAGATATCACACTCCTTTTCTTATCCATGCCCTTCTTGGCCCCTCTGCAATCTATGCCCACCTCTGCTTACTGCCCTTTTGCCACCTTAGGCATCTACTTGCAGATTAAGCCATTTGCAGAAGCGCTCTGCAGGGATGCTTGGCTGCAGAATGTCCTCGTTATGTTTTACTCTCATTTTGCAGGGCAGCGTTTCACTTTAATATTGCCAAGTGTTCATGATTAGGCACAGAGGTGACAGCTCTTGTAAGACAGGCTGCTCACTCTTCTTGATGGTATTGTTTCTGTCTTTCTGCAAAGGTAAGCATTCATCCTCTGCAGCATCGGGCTGTGCTGGGAAAGTATCAGAGCTCAGATACATCAGCAGTCCTCTGGGGAGTAACTAAGCACCTCAGATCCACTCATCTGCTAGAACAGTCTATGTGCACCCCTAAGAGCATCCTTCCATGCAGCTTAAGCTGATCTATCACAATGACAAGTCCCACTCCTTGCAGTGGAGCTGCTGCCTCTGTTTTCATGAGCTGAGCTGGCTCAGGGAGTTAACGCAGCCAGAAACTGTTCACATCTGCAATAAAGACAGTTTATTTAGCTATCAGCGAAAACTAAGTGAAATGACATTAAAGCTGCTATTTGCTTAGCAAACAGATATGGCTCATTAGTTGCCATGGATTAGCTGATGCAAAGTTACTTGTTACTGCACAGTCACCTGGCAGTGCCTCTGAAGCTGAGGGTGGCTAAGGTAGTAGTGATGGCTGAGACTTTGCCCTTGCTAGGAGCAGCAGCAACGAAAGCAGTTTGTGCCCCTCATTGCTTTTCCACTGATACAAGGACTAATAATGTATGAGTTAAAAAATAGAAGCTTGAGGTCTGGGAGAGTGACAAGCCACTTGCTGGTCCCATCATATCAAACACTGCACCACAAACGATATTCCCACCCCACCAAGTGCACTGCATTTCTTGCTACACAACCTCATGAACAGCATCTACAAAGCACTGGATGGAATTGCTGGTCTCTGAAATTCAACCAGTCCCAATAACACTGTCTTTCTTTTCTCATCCACAGCATGCTTTATATTTGGGCTCCTTGCTTTCCTTGCCTTACCACTGTCCATGACTTTTATAGGTAAGTTGCCTACTAAAGCAATTTAAAAACAGGAGCTTCCGAGGACTGTGTGGCAGGTTAACACATCCAGAGGGAGAAGGGAGTCGGGAAACTTAGTTGAACTTGTGTGTTGACACTTCAGATTCAGACAGAATCTCAGCCCACAATGAATGTGCTTGAATTCTGACCCTATTTGTCTTAAATACCACCCCCCCCTCCCCAGAGTGTCTTACCTCAGTACAGGGATCTGTCTGTGGGAGGAAGCTCAGAATCTGCCACATCAGAATATTTCATTAATCAGGATCCCTCTGTATTAACTGCACTGCAAAACCTTAGAAGTGTAGGGCTGGAAGGGAAGAAGAGATGATCTAGGCTGCTATTTCTCCACCTTTTTGTAAGCGATACTGGTTTTCAGCTGCTGTCTCTGTCTAACCCCCCAAAGGCTGGATTTGTGAGTAGCATCTCGAGATCAAATATTTAAGGAAGGAAAAGAAAATCCTTTGAACGGCAGAATTTTATACATTTTTAAACTGCACAAGGCTCTTCTTTTCTTAAGCATCACCTTTTCCTTGCCATTAGCATAGATTTTATTTATTTATTTATTCATTTATTTATTAACTGAGCAATTTCTTACACTTCATTGCTCCCTTTGGTCCTTTCACATCCTCCACAGGGTTGTAACCCTCTTGAGGAACATAGGTAGAGACACCAGCCCGCTTCTGCTTTCAGATACGGTCACATGCTCACAGCATCCCTGACAGATGTCTGACTTGCCCTTGCTGAAGGAAATTCCACAGCTTCCCCAAAAGCCTATTTCAGCATTTTATTGCTCTCACAGACAAAATATTTTTCCCCATATCCAACCTAAATCTTCCCTATGGCAAATTAAACAGATTACAGCCTGTCTTACCTATGTGGTCACAAAGACAGATTGGTCACCATCCTTGTGAAGAGAACCTTTGAACTGTTTGAAGGCTGCTATTATAACCCCACTCCATCTTCTCTTTTTTTTTCCAGAGATCTCAAAACCTGCTTTTTTCATCCTGACCTCACGGGTCACTGTTTCTGTAGCCTCTTTTTTTGCATTTTTGCCTCCCTCCTTTGGCCTCTGGCCAATGTAACTATCTTTTCCTCCCATCAAAAAAAAACAGATGGAACACAGGACTGCAGCTGAAGAGTGCAGAATATTCAACTCCTCTGTTTAACATGCAGGATTCCTGTAAACATACCTCAAAACGAAACATGCTCTCTCTGCACTAACTCATTGGCTCCAATTTAGTTTATGGTGCATTGTAAGCCCAGACAGGTTTTGTTAGTGCTGCTTTTTATCAGACACTTCTTGTTTTTTATTTACACTGAAGTGCTCTCTCCTATATTCAGTGTTCAGCTTTTTCAGCTGTCATCTCATGGATTTTTGATGTCTTTTTCCAATGTAAACAAAGCACTTTGATTTTTAAGTCTTGTCCTCAGGAGTGCTTACTGTCATTCCAGATGGGTGTCCTTGAGAAGCTGTTCACCTTCTGCCTTATTCATGAAAGATGGTACAAAGGAACTCTACATGCAGATGCTATGGTCAAGATGCATCCTACCTGGATTTGGACTGTAACCAAGCTCAGTGCCATGTGTTGCCCTTGCATTTGACTGTGAAAGTCCCATTCCCTCTTCTAGGTGTCTGCATTGAGATGACCTTTAGGGGAGTCAGGACACCTAGCCTGTTAGCAGGTATAGTTGGCCAAACTCACAAAAAAAGTGTTCAGCTAAAGTGTTCAGTGCTGCACCCTTTATCTGGGGCCTTCTGAGTATCAGTGAGAGAGACTGTGGAAGGATTCTGATTAGGATGTCCTAATTAGGAATTAGGGAGTTCTAATGAGGGATTAAAGAGCTATTAGAAAGTAAGGAAATGGACTGAACTGTTCCATCTCAACACTTAGGTTCTTATGGTTATTCATGACTTAAAATTGCTATTTATCCCTTAAGAGGACTTTAGCTTTAGCTTTTCCCTAGGCTGAATATGCCTGAGCAGTGGAAGAGAGGTGGGAAGGTATAACTCAAAGTGTGGTACAGCTTGCATGCATATTGACAGGCAACCCTCTGGAAATGAATCTAGGGTTGGAATCTGATCATTTATAATTTCCTTGGAATATTTCATAATACCTTTAAGATCAGTGAGAAGTAGAAAGCGTATGGTAAGATATTAGCCTGGAGCTCTGGGTATCTCCTGCATCAGATACAGAGCCCCTTTTTTCAAAGTTTACTGAAATTAAGAGATAATGTCACTGTAATATACTGTTGTCAGAGGATATTCGCTTCCTGCAGCTACAGATCTGCAGAGGCATTTCTAGGAAAATTAAATGTCAAGCAAAATGCAGATATTTATTATCCAAGCAAATGCCTCTGATTTTCTGATAACATTCTGTTACCATGATCTCAGAGAATAACTTATTGATGTGCCTCCAGTCATTTTGGCTCTTGCTTTCTGCAGAGAAAAACTGAGAAGTATTTTCAAAAGTTAACAAATAAATTATACTAATATTTGTTAAAACTCAGAGATGAATAAGTGGTACCCCAGTAATAATTAACATTAACACGCTAACCCTGTACACTTTTAAATCTAGTAGTACTGCAAATCACAGTAGAAATCAAGATACAAGAAAAGGACTTTTTCCAAGCTCCAAACCTGTGACATCATTCAAGCCACAGATTGTTTAGCAGCTTTCTAACTGTCACTGGTAGAGCTAATCCCCTTTTTTCACTAAACACTCTAAAAACAGAGATATGGAAGGACCTCATAGACATCTTCTGACAATCTGCTTTAGTTTCTGGGACAGTGAAGGATTGCTCCCAAAATCTCATTCTTGTACATTGTCTAGACTTCCTTCATACACAGTGTTCCCCAAGGGTAGTTAAATCACATATGAAAGCTAATGACATCATTTTCTCAATAGGCAATCAAAATTTTCCCCTGCTCAAATTTACCCCAGTACTATTCCTCACGGTTATATCTACACCAAATAATTCCTCAGCTCTCCAGTGCTCCCAATAGTTGTCTGATGTCTATTCTCAGACTCGCTACGTTTATGTGAGGGCCACTCTTGCCCTTTAGCAGCTGTTAACATAATCTTTCATTGCATTTCAGCCTTTCACTGTTTCTGTAAGTTTTCTCTGATTTGCTCATGTGCTTTCTGATAAAATGGTGCCCAAACACAATTATTTTGAGAAAAGTCCTCTGCAGCACCTAGCTCCTAGTGTGAAGCCCATAGTCCAGGGCTTGACCAAGGTCTGCTAAGTGATGGCAGCTGCAGTCATCCACTAGGAACAACTGAAAATGGCCTGGCATGTTTTGTCCTCTGCCTCCTATTAAAAGAGAAGGAGGGGAGTGGGCATCAGACATCACATTAGCCTTGCTATGCAGCAGCTCTCCTTTACTACGGGATAGTGATACCTTTACTCAGTCATTTTCAGCTTCCTGAGAAGAGCAAAGCAGCTAGAATGAGGCCAATGCTGTATTGCCTTTCATTCATCCTGACCCTTCACTTCATGGATAATCATGAGTCACAAGGACACTTGGTTAGTAGTGATCTGTTGTCACAACACTGCCCAAAATGGTGTCCTTAGAGACGCTCATACACTGATCACTCACAACTGCTCGTTCCACTAGGGTAGACTTTGTGTCCTGGATCTCACTGAAGTGTTGTTCTATGATAACAAAGGGGTAAAATGTGCAAGTACCTCTGTTCCCTCAAGCCTCCCATCTCTTTTTCTCCTTTGGACACATGCAAGCTCTTGGACATCCTTGATGTGTCTGAGCTTGCAAAGATTGCTGGTTTGTTCATTTGGATTTATATGCTGGTCTATGTCATGGCCAGGTTCAATTGCTCTTCACTCCAAACCACAGATTGCTCTGGCTTGCAGGGGGCATTGCACTAGAAACAGAGCTTTGATCTCTCACAGTCCATACATCCCATCCTTAACAGTCCAAGGAAAACATATTTGGTACTCATGGGAAGGAAAAGCTAACACCAATGCCCTCCTACTAGTTCTGGTGTTCCCAAATAAATCAGGCACATGCTCTGTGTGAACTGATTGGCACATGATGTGCCTAGATTTCACGCTAACAAATATCAGTGCCCATCTGTCAACAGTAGGTCCTATTCACCCATAGTGCTGTATTTTTTAAGTTACTACTGTATTACCCTGTTTCCCCTCCCCTTTTGATACCATGTCTGCCTGCAATACTCCCCCCAAATCTACAGATTGCCACTGCTTATCATTTAAATCATTCCCAAGACCGATTGCTGTCATGTTACATCTACGAAAGAACTTCATAATAGATTTGTCTGAAAACAGAATCATAGCTGCATGAAAAAAAAGAAAAAAAAAACCACAAAACCAACCAAACCAAACTGGCACATTCATTTTCATGTTTTGTTTTGTGTTTTTTTTCCCCTCAAACCCAAATCTCAGTAACACGCTGGAAATAGCAATTGCCGAGGTTCCTAAACTTAAACGTATTCCCTGAGATCCCTGGCCAGCTGCTTTTGTGGCAGGCTATTACAAGGCCAAGGACTCTTGAAATCCTGGCAGCAGCTTTCTGAACATGATATAATTCATGATGATTTCCCTGCTGCCCACCCCTGTAAAGCTGGGAGCCTGAGCAGGTCTCACTGTTACATAGCAGCAAAAGGGATAAAAAATTACAGCCTTGCAACAGTGGACAAAAAGGGACAGAGTCCAAATCCATCTATGTCCAGCCCTTTTCAATTATGAGTCAGCTGGTAACAGACACTTAGGGTAGAAGAGTGCACTGGACTCCACAGCCCTTACACAAAGCAAATCATCCTGTACCCTATGACTAATGTAAGAACTACTCAAGTAACCACAGTCCACAACACCTGTTAATACATACAGCATAATTTCTATAAAAAAAAGTGCAGGAGAGGTTTAGGACATCAGCAATGTTCTGGACCAGCAATAACCCAGATTATTTAGAGAGAAGTGAAAATTTCTCTTTGAAAAGGACATATACAAGAAGAAAACAGAAAATCCTTTCTGTTCTCTGCAACTGATCAGTTGAAGCCCTGAAAGACAAGATCAATCACCATAAAATTATAATGTAATGAACAGTTTAAAATTGACTAAAAATGCCACTGGCTAAGAAATTTGGGCAGAGGATTTATCCCAGCTAACTTTAGATATCTACAGCTGGCTCTCTATATTCCCTGTATAGCAATGGAGAGAAAGAGGCACTTTCAGAGCCCAACTCATCTGACCTATTTCGAATGCCTATCTTAGGATGAGATGAATTGAATTTTACAAGTGCCTATTTCTCCCTATTGACTATAGAGTCTAGAAAACTAGTTCAGATATGCATGCCTGCATTGCAGACATCTATATTTGGACAGATGAGTCTCACTGCCACAGACCTGTATCACAAGCTTCAGCGTCTACTGCCAACAACATCCTTATACTGCCACACTCTTCCTTCCCTAAAACTTACCCAGCTTTCTAGCAGTAGGTTTGGGGGTTGCCAGGATCCCCAGCTCCATAACAACCAACGCTGTTAGCCTCCAGCAACCCAAACATCTTGGAAACTTGAGCTTCTGTGGTTTCCTACCAGCTGCCTGGGAAGCTAAAATGGTTCCAGGCGCTCCCACAGGCACTGGCTCTCAAGCTTTAAGGCATCCGAGTTGCGAACATGTCACACTCATGGGAGCTAATGAGGAGGAAAGGCCTGGGAAAAGCTTACCAGAATTCCTTCTTTTCACAAACAGTTTTGATTTTCAATTACTTTTCTACTGATGATGAAAATTTCCTGTCTGGCTCAGTCAGTCATTCGTTAAACAAAGATGCAGTGGCTTAAGATAATGACCTGTGTGCACAGATCTAATCAGTAATGCCAGAGCAACCTTTCTTGTTATTACCTTTGATCTCTCTCTTCCTTTTCCTGCCTTTTGCTTGTTCCTGCCCCTCGCTCCTGTAGTGGGAGATGCAAACCTCCTTTAATTCATTCCCCATTTCAACAGACACCAGATTAAGTCTTGGATTTAAGCACTTGACTTACAGCATTTTTAGTTTTCACTGTACAGCTTGTTGCACTATTTAAATACTTGAGATAACAAACATTAATTTTTGCTATTCAGGAATGAAGTTTTTGGAAGATTGCCCAGTTCAGCCACTAATTCCATTATATCTGTTGGTGGGTGGCGTGATTGGCAGCTTAAAGGTAATGTGCCTTCTATGTGTGAAAAATACTTTGTGTGACTAGACTTTGACTTGCTAGTTAAGAGATAATGATGGCTCCAGACAGCTATGTGCATGCAGTATTGAAGAGAGCTTTCAGGACTGAACTGTGCTTGTTCCAGCACCTAAAACACCCATCAGTGAAGTGAGATGCTAATGAGTTCAGCACTTCGCACTGTCCTACACACTGTGGTGTGACTTTCTCCTACACCACAGCATCCACCATTGCTGCAATCCCTACTGAGGGAAATGACTACATAACATGGATGCCTGTGGTAAATGTGGTCCTATTTTCACAAGAGGTCCTCCAAGCCTGCCAGACCTTTCTCCTTTATTCTCAGACACAGGATGGACAAGAAGTGAAGCTACTCTCCTAGCTTTAGGAATACTATAAAACTACAGGTGTTGGTGCACAGCCCTTCAAGAGCTCAACTTATTCTCAGTCTGACCTTGCCAGAAAGAATGACTGAGAAACAACAGAGGCAGCACCATTGCTTCTTTCCAGAGTAAACAAATATCTGCATCACAGCAGGGCTTATTAATCTAAGCACAGTATATTCTAACCACAGGATCTTCTAATCACAGCTACCTGTCTTCTAGTGGACTATACTCACATCTTTATTGAACCTGAGCCTGGCTGCTTGATGAGTAGGTATACCCCAATGTCTATGTTACACTTTGGTCATTATAAAGATGATTTTGCATTGACTCTAGGGTAAAGGATTACCCTGTTCTGACAGTTCCTTTGCAAATGGCGTTACCTGGCTGTCTGTGGGCATGAAGAGACTTGTCACAACAGATTATAGAGCTACTTTAAGGCTTCTAAGCAGGATTAAGCAAAACTATTTTTTGCTGTCCCGAAGATGTTCTTGCCAAAGGAAAAGGGGTGGGAGGGAAGGAAAAGCTTTGGAACTGCACCGCTGGGGCATGAAGGGCTAAGAACAGCAAGTGCTACTGCGGGAGGGAACATCAGCACTGGTGGTGTTGCCTGGCCTCCATAGCTAATGGGGGCAGCAGCAACCCAGCACTCACCTATGTTCCCAGGAGGCCAGCACCAACAGACCAGACAGGGTAGACCCGATGGGTTGGTCATGTCCTAATGTTTCAGTATAGGCAGCTTGGCCCTGTAAAGGGAACCTGCCAGTCTCCCACTTGACAGCACTGCATATTGCAGCCAGTAGACACTCCAAACAGGAGCTAGCTACAGTCCCCTGTGATAATATTTCTAGACCCTTTTCTTTGCCAGGATCAAAACAGGGGAAAGAATATTCCTCTGCAGGTCTCAGCCTCCCTTGCACTCTTTCACAGTGGTAACCAAGATGCAGTGCATCACTGGGATACAAATCATCCCTCCTGAGGACCTTTGGTCAGTAAATAAGTAAATGGATTAAAAAAAAGAAAGTGCTTAATCATGTTACAAGGAGTATGTTGTGCTATGATTTCTACTGGCAAATGCTTAGTTATTTGATCACACCAGTGGCCTTATCTGTATACTCAAAGGTTCATTTAATAATAGTTTAGAAAAGATTAGAGCAGAATTGAGAGAAAAATTTCATGCTAATGAATTGAAGCCTTCATCAAAAATGTTGACTGTTTCTCAGCTACTCCTGGTTTAAAGTCAGTTTTCCTTACCCTAAATAAAACGGTAAGTGGATCAGTTAATATTCATGCTGACATCAAGTAATGGCTTGAATTTGGCTTCAGTTGACAGCAGGACTGACCATTTTACAGTCTGACAATACATTTCGTAAGAATTTGATTGATCTACTCTTGTATCACCTTCTAGTGCTTTATCTGTAGCCAAATTCCATCTTTTCCAACTCTGCCTCTGTTAAATTCATCAGACTGCACCGACTCCACTGAGCAGTACATTTGATTGATGTCTGAGAGTTAAAAGGTCAGAGAATGGGTATAGGATGAAGTCTGAATGAATGCTGTCCTGTGATGGATATTGTTTAATGGCAAGTCACTCTGGCCCAGATCTGTAGGCTTCTCATCGAGTTTTTTACCACCTCCCGTCTTTTACAAGGCAATGGTGACCTACAGATATTCACCAAGGCGACTGATCCATTCCACAGCATCCAGAGATGCCTGCTGAATTCATGTCATGCTGCTCCATAAATGTATGTTCAACAGTTATTAACAATGTGAGCAACTTTTGCTTCAATCACAACTTGGTAAGGCAATAATCTGTAAGAATGAAATACACTCTCCATAAACTGGTTAGATGCAGTTGGGATCCATAAATCCACCTGGGAGGTTTCTCTGACTTCCCCAAAGGTGATGCTCATCTGCCATTTAACCCCATTCCCATCGCTGACCTTGGTGAAGCTTGACGACAGGCATCTGCCTATGTGCTGAGCTAACCAGCATTCTCACCATTGTTCACTGGCTAATGAAGAAGGTGTAAAATGGTGCTCTTCTTTCTTATTTCAAGCATAAAATTGAGCACAGAATATAACTCTGGGAAAGACAACATGGCTGAGAACCCCTATTTGGAGAATATGTCCCTCCCCTCAGCCATTTATAAATCCACATCTTTTATTTTCTCTCTGAATTTCATTCCTGGCTGGCCGAGGCAACTTCCTGCTCAGTTGCTTTCTTAAAGTCCCTTTCCCAAAGACACAGCTCGCTGCAGGGAGTCTTGTACAGGAACACAGGTACCTAAGAAGGGGAGCTGCAATTACAATAGCTAGTGCCTTGAGGACTGGGCCAAGTGTTTCGAATGTAGCAAGGTAACACAGGTTTCACAATGTTTGTCCCAAATCCTCATTTAGCCCTGTATATACCTCTCCTATAAATGTACCAAAATTAAGAAAATCATTTAGGGGACAAATCTCTACGCTGCAGTCAACCTACTGACATACTTCGTGTTCCGAGACTAAAACAGAAATCTTCTAAGCATTGCTGATGAGTCCTGCTGCATTTCCCTATAGACCAGACTTTCCTATCCCCACAGTATCATGATATTCCACCTGTTTCTCTGCTGGTTTTGACTGAAGACAGGAATGGAGCAATCTGGGAAAATGATGCTTAATTGAAGAAAACTTGACAGAATCATTCAAAGTATTGGAAGCAAATTATTTGGGGTTTAGGTCAAAGTCTAGACTGTTCATAATTTTATTTAAGCTGATTAACCTATATAGCCATGAAAAATAATGAGGAGAGACAAATCCACCCACTACAATGCAGGAAAGACTCAAGTCATTTAGCAGTTACTCTAATCTGTTCTTAAGAGTCTCCAGTGTGGGAGCTGCTGCCATCTCCCTACACAATCTGTTCTCATGCCTTTCCATCCTTACCACTGGCAGGTTTTTTTCCAATGTCTGGCCTAAATCTCACTGGTGAATAAACTGTAGAGGAAAAATACATTCTTTTCCAGCAGGATCTGCCTCATTTGTGGCTCCTCAGCTTTCTCCTACATGATTTTCCCACATCCAATTTTAATTTGGCCCAAAGGCTGGCAGTGACCAGAATGTGTTGAGACTTTCCACAGCCAATTGACTTACTCCCTTTTCTCTTCCAATGTCTCCAGGTGACCCTCCTGCTGTACGACTCAGCCAGGATGAGGCAGCTGCTTTCCAAGTCCGTTGTGATTGATGACGATGACGATGACGAATATCCCTGGAGGCAGAATGCTCACAAGTACTACACCCATCTAACCCTCAGCCTTTTCCTTTTTCTTTGGTTCATTCTTGGGAACTACTGGGTTTTTTCTGTGTACCTGCCAAACTTCATCCCACCTTTCCATCAGCCTCAGGATTACTGTGACAAAACCCTGTACATTTTTGCTGTTGGTGTTCTCATCATTAGCCATACTGTTCTCTTTCTCCTTATCTTTTGTAGCTGCTGCATATATTGTTTTTCCAGGCAAAGACACTTTTCTGAGGAAGACTAAATGCCGCACAAGTAAAGCCCCAGATGTTCAGGAAAGAGTGTATAACAAAGAATAGGCAATAATTCACCCTTGTGTACATCTTTGTTGTACTATATATATGTACAATAGCAGACAACTGCAAGAGGAAATTGTAGAATACCATGCCATCTGGGAAAAGCTATGCTGGAATTCAGCATAGTCAATGTAAAATTGCTGCTGTGAATGGCAGGGTGCACTCCTGCTGACTTCTACATCCCTTTTTTAACTCTTGGATAGTCTATCTGGAGCAAGCTCTTGCAGATGGTGAACTCTAAAACCAGGTCCCCTAATGTTGTTTCAGCATAGTACATCTTTGCCTATAAAAGCAACCACGTTGTCCTTTTCACATGGATCTGAACTTCTCTGTAGCCTTGCTGTGGTATGTTACTGTCCCTGTATTACAAATGAGGGAGCAGAAACAAAGACATAAAGGGCTGTATTCAGACCACCTTGCATGGTGCATGGACTTTGACAGCAACTTAGGTGCTCACTACAGAGCTACTGTTAGACCAGCCAGGAAGTAGCTATGAGAGAAATATGAGCATGTATAAAAGGCAGCCTGCATATGGCCCCCAGGTATCTTCTGAACTTGGATTTGAAAGCATTTATATCTACCTTTGGTGCTAAAACAGATAGTCTGAATATACCTATATATAGCCAAAACATCTAAACTGAGCCGAGGCCACAATACAAATCTTTGGCAGAACAATATATGCTCAGCATTCTCCAATCTGGGGAGACTGTTCTTCTCCATTTCTTGTATAGCAGTAATTTGTCAGTACCACACCAGTGCAAAGGTGGTTGTCAAACCATTGTGACCACATCCACAGAAAAACTGATGATGTTATGTAGGTGTTTTAAATATAAAAGATAATAAAAAGTACACGGGCAGGGATGTAAGAATTTCAAGTGGATGTGTTCACTAAAGCAGTGCTCCAGTGATGTGGGTGTACATTTGATTTGTTCACCTTGGTGCTCTCCATATGGAAACTAATACTTAAGAGACAGATGTAATACAAACAGCTTTTAAGTCAACAGCAGTATCAGTTTTAAAAGCACCAGCATGCAGAGAGACAACTGTTCTGTGGCATGTAATGGAGCAAGCCTGTAACTGGTCCTGGAAGATTGCTTCTTCATGTATTGAGGAATGCTATGTAAAAGTGCTCTTTCTGCTTTTGCTTTTATGCGCTTTTGTTACTATGGTCAGAGCAGAGAGGGTCCCCTCTATACAAGCACAAGGGTGGCCCCAGCACAGCAAGAGGATGAGTGTTTTGGGTACCTTTTCTGTTAAAACCACACTGCTGAAACCTACGTTTTAGAGAAACCTTAGAAGAGTTATAGGATGTCTGTGGAAGGGTGAGAGCTGTAAAAGAACCTCAACAATATGCTACAGCTGAAGAGGCTCTGCCCAACCATCCTTCCTGGGACTGAGGCTGAACGCAGTGTAACACCTGTGGGAACCACCTGTCTTCAACCATGAACATTTAATCAGGAGCTATTGGATAGACAACTAAGGGTGCATTTCGTCCACATGGATTTTAATTCAGGCTCTGGCTTTAAGAATATTTTATTTCCAGAAAACTTATATTAGAATGGAGGTAAGACAAAAGGTGAAATGCTCCGACAAGAGAGCAGCATCAGTGTAGCATTTGTCTCTGCAGCAGCCACTCAGGAGAAGTCATAGTCAGGCTGTCCCTGATCAGAAATCCATGGGATGGGAATTACTAACACTGCTGGCTGACTTAGGCCACACACAGTTGCATGTAGGGAGACATGACCAATGGAAATATTTCCTTTTATTCATAAGCCTCAAATTGTGCTTGGGAGAAATCACAGGCTATGTTTTCCCAAGAGTCATAACTCCATCCACCACTCAAATGCAACAAAGCAGCTGCTTATCACTACACATGAATTTTACCCAAATGCTTGGAACTGACATAAGAAAGAAATTTATACTCAGTTGATACTGCAAAAGAAATTTAACAAGGAAGCAGCTACACACACTTCCACCCATAGGACTCCCTGCCTAATGCAACAACTCCCTGTTGTTGCAAAATGCCACTAAGAATCATTCTTGATCACAAAGAATAAATACATGGCAGACAAAACTAACACCAGAGGCAATGTAGGCCCACTGATGAACGGGATGGGTGCCCTGGTGACAGAAGATAAAGAGATGGCAGAGTTACTGAATGCCTTCTTTGTCTCTGTCTACTCTGCTGCGGGCAGTCCTGAAGAGCCCTGTACCCCTGAGACCTTAGATGAAGTCAGGTCGACGGAGCGGTTTGCCTTAGTCGATGAGGAATGGGTTAGAGACCAGTTGAGCAATCTGGACATCCATAAATCCATGGGTCCAGATGGGATGCACCCGCGGGTGCTGAGGGAACTGGCGGAAGTCATTGCTAGACCACTCTCCATCATCTTTACCAAGTCTTGGGAAACGGGAGAGGTGCCTGAGGACTGGAGGAAAGCAAATGTCACTCCAGTCTTCAAAAAGGGCAAGAAGGAGGACCCGGGTAACTACAGACCGGTCAGCCTCACCTCCATCCCTGGGAAAGTGATGGAACACCTTATCCTTGGTACCATCTTAAGGCATATCAAGGATAAGAAGGTTATGAGGGGCAGTCAACATGGCTTCACCAGGGGGAAATCATGTTTGACCAATCTCTTAGCCTTTTATGAGGAAATAACACGGTGGATGGATGATGGCAGAGCGGTGGATGTGGTCTACCTTGACTTCAGCAAAGCATTTGACACGGTCTCCCACAGCATCCTCACGGCTAAAATGAGGAAGTGTGGACTGGATGATCAGGTAGTGAGGTGGACTGCGAACTGGCTGAAGGAGAGAAGCCAGAGAGTTGTAGTCTATGGGGCTGAGTCTAGTTGGAGGCCTGTAACTAGTGGAGTGCCTCAAGGGTCAGTACTGGGACCGGTATTATTTAATATATTCATCAATGATTTAGATGAGGGAATTGAGTGTACTATCAGCAAGTTTGCTGATGACACTAAGCTGGGAGGAGTGGCTGATACGCCAGAAGGCTGTGCTGCCATCCAGCGAGACCTGGATAGGCTGGAGAGTTGGGCAGGGAGTAACTTGATGAAATATAACAAGGGAAAGTGTAGAGTCCTGCATCTGGGCAGGAACAACCCCAGGTTCCAGTATAGGTTGGGGAATGACCTGTTAGAGAGCAGTGTAGGGGAGAGGGACCTGGGGGTCCTGGTGGACGACAGGATGACCATGAGCCAACACTGTGCCCTTGTGGCTAAGAAGGCCAATGGCATCCTGGGGTGTATTAGAAGGGCGGTGGTTAGTAGGTCGAGAGAGGTCCTCCTTCCCCTCTACTCTGCCCTGGTGAGACCGCATCTGGAGTATTGTGTCCAGTTCTGGGCCCCTCAGTTCAAGAAGGACAGGGAGCTGCTGGAGAGAGTCCAGCGCAGGGCAACTAAGATGATTAAGGGAGTGGAGCATCTCCCTTATGAGGAAAGACTGAGGGAGCTGGGTCTCTATAGTTTGGAGAAGAGGAGACTGAGGGGTGACCTTATCAGTGTCTATAAATATATAAAGGGGGAGTGTCACGAGGACGGAGCCAGGCTCTACTCAGTGGCAAACAATGATAGGACAAGGGGTAATGGGTACAAACTGGAACACAAGAGGTTCCACTTAAACTTGAGAAGAAACTTCTTCTCAGTGAGGGTGACGGAACACTGGAACAGGCTGCCCAGGGAGGTTGTGGAGTCTCCTTCCCTGGAGACATTCAAAACCCGCCTGGACGCATTCCTGTGTAACATTATCTAGGTGTTCCTGCTCCGGCAGGGGGATTGGACTAGATGATCTTTCGAGGTCCCTTCCAATCTCTAACATACTGTGATACTGTGATACTCCTGATTAAGCCTGAATTGATTCCCATGTCACTGCTATCCAGTAACCTTGCAGCAAGTGATGATGTGTGCTCTCCTACCTGAGCAAGCACAAGGTCATTTTAGTTCAGCCCTGATGAGGTATAAGCTGAGTCACATTCCCTTGTGTTTTCTGTGTGCCTCTGTGAGCATAGTTACAGCAACTCAGCAGATGTGTAATGATTCATCAAATTTCAGCCACACAACAGTAAGTCCAAGGCCTGTGTCTCATTCATGGGAGACTAAAACTGACTGACTCTCTGCAGTCTGCCATGGAGATTTAATTCTTTAGGTGTGACAACCCACTGGGTTCATTGACATCTTATGAAAGTGCTGCCAAATCACAGGGCTAGTGATCAGTTCCTGTTTGGCACAAACACAGAATGATAGCGGAAGTATTAACAAAGCAAAAGGCATTTGTGAAATACTTTGAAGGTATCAAGGGTAAACAAAAAACTGTTAGAACTGGGAGAGGAAAATTCTGAATTGATAGTATTTATTTGTGTACATCAATAAGCTACGGCACATGCAAGCTTGAACATCAATACCTCCAAAAGTGCTGGAGCCATCATTTCTGTATCCAGCAAGGTCTGAGCATGCCTTCTGCACTTTGATTGCTACCACTTCCTTCAGCAGGCTAGAATCATGCAGGCGTAGAGCAAGGACAGCTGGTTTTGGACATAGGTTTAAACACAACTGAGTCACAGTGACTGGCTAAGTTACTGTGCTGCCATCAGCAGCATACTTTCTCTTGGGTTGCTCAAATGGCTAGATAATGCACTCAATTTAAACCCAAATGAAAGTAATTTAATTGCAGACACTCCCTCTCACTTTGGGCTAATCTAGGATATGTACATGAGCCACAGCACTTTAACTTGTGAGCAGCAGCCTTTTAAATTGCCACAACCTGATGGTGTCCCAGACAAATGCTCAGTCCCTGGAGAAGTGGGCGCATTTCCTCAGCAAACAGCTCTGGGGGAATTATGACATTACAGCCCAAAAATCAAATGGCTGAAAATACAATCTACACCTTGGTGTAAAAATGTTTCATATATTGCTAGTAGACTAAATTACAAATTGAAAATGTTCATTTTTTCCCCAAAGTAATATAAATGCCTTCTGAAAACTGGACAAAATACACCCTTCAGATAAATATTATGAACTCAGAAATGTGTTGACTACCATGCAGGAAAACAGCTGTAACTGCTCCAGTTAAGTCCTCTCCCCATCTTGAGAAGAAAAGGTATACTTCTAGCTTTTAAAGGAAAAAAAAAAAACAACATTATTTCAATGGACTAGATAGCCTGCTCACTGCTAGCTGTGGGCACTACAGGAATCTAGTAGTGTAAGGACACAAAGACATTTCTGCATGCAAATACAGACTCTAGACATACATGCATCATAATGCAATGGTAGCAGCCATGAAATAAATCACACTTATTACAGTTTATTGCCCACAGTATGTTTCTCCTCCCATTACTCCACCTTCTTTAGCAATGGGCAAAATATTCCAAAGCAATAGGGAGCAGCTTCCCAGAGCTATTTTAAAAGCTGCAGACAGACAGGCGAATGTTTTTTTCCTTCATTCCAAATGTTGAACACAGACAGCTCCTGCCTGCTGACTCAAAGTGAGAGAAGATGAGCATCAGACATCACAGACCTCATCTCCTCTGGAGTAGAAACAGGAGTGCACTGTTGCAGATCTCTCACACAGCACTCTCTCTGAGCTTGATGAGGTCCCAAGACATTAGACTTTAAAGCTACAAGTGACTGCACAAAGAAAAAAAAACAAGAAGTAGAGCTATTCTAGGTTACGTCAAGAGCTGTTCTGAATGTCTCTGACCCTGCAATGTGAGCGGTTGGTGTAAATGAGCCTAAATGCTTTGACTTTACAGGCGAAGGGCTATGAAGATTAAACTGTTGGTACATTGTACAACATTCTAAACCAGCTCAGTTTCTGTAAATTATCTCAAATCTTATCTCTGATTAGTCATCCTCCCCAGACTCTAGTTGATAGGGACTTTGCATCACGA